GCCTCAGCCTTCCAAGCAGCTGGAACTACAGGTGTGTGCTACCACGCCCGGCTAATTTTTGATTTATTGTAGAGATGAGGTCTGCCAAGTTGCCCAGGCGGGTCGCGAACCCGTGGGCTGGGGCAATTCACTCACCTCTGCCTCCCAAAGCGCTGGGATTATAGGCTGAGCCACCGAGCCCAGCAAAAAAAAAAAAAAAAAGAAAAAAAATTTTAAGAGAAGGAATCTCACTGAGTTGCCCAGAGTGGTCTTGAACTCTTGGCTTCAAGTGATCCTTTAGCCTCTGCCTCCCAAAGTGCTGGGATTACAAACCTGAGCCACCATGCCCAGCTGGCTCATACTTCTTTTGTGATTCTCTTCTTCAGTGAGCTCACATTCCCTTCAGTATTCCAGATCCATACTGTACAAAAGAATTCCGTATTTTTATCTCTGGCCATCTCCACTGGGTGGAATGGTGTCCCCTCAAAATTAATGTCCTTCCTGGTACTTCAAAATATAACTGTATTTCAAAATAGGTTCACTGCAACTGTAATTAGTTAGGATGAGATCATGCTGGAGCAGGGTGGGTCCTTAATCCAATATAAGACACACACACACATACACACACATACACACACACACACACACACAACCAGGGAAGGTGTGGATATGAGGACAACAGAGGCAGAGAGAGTTGGTAAGTCTATAAGCCAAGGAATGCCAAGGACTGCTGGCAACCATGAGAAGCTAGGAGAGAAACATGAAACAGATTTCTCCCTCTGAGCTTCCCCGAAGAAATAAATCAACCCTATCAACACCTTGATTTCTGACTTCCAGCCTCCAAAACTGTGATAGAATACATTTCTGTTGTTTTAATCCACCTGGTTTCTAGTACTGTTACGACAGCCCCGGGAACCTGACACACCTTCCTAAGTAAAAAAAAAATTTATATTTAAAATTTCATGATGGGCTTCTTCAGCACCCAGAACTACATATTCAAAGTGTTCCAAAGCAAACATCATCTTTCCAGCCAAATCAATTGGTGCTGAGGACCCAATTTATAAGCAGTAGCACCATTCTCCAGTCTTGCCATCTCATCTCAGACTCTGCCTTCATCCTTGCTACAAGCGATTCCACAGCTCTATGTATTCTATCTCCAAAACATTATTTGATTCTATCTTCTCATGTCCATTCTCAAGGTCACCTTGCTTCCAGACCACTCTAAGGGTCCTCTAACTGGTCTTCATACCTCCCATCTCTCCTAGCAACCATCTACCCTGACACGAGTTTAATTTTTTATGATGATCAAAAACCTACAGCTAAATAAATCTCCCATTCATGCCCTGAACTAGTCTGAACTGCTAACTGATTAGGTTAATGCCTATTATCCATTCGCCCTTAGCATCCAACACATCATTATCAGTTTTACATCCTAAGAAAATTGCAAAAATTCACTACACTGAATATAGTCACTGCAACAAATCACCTGTATAATATTAGAGTCCTCTTACACAGCTCCTGGCCCAACACCTGGCTAAAATAAAAATGTATATACAATCAGCCTTCTGCATTCATGAGTTTCACAACCATGGATTAAAATATTAGGAAAAATAAAAAAATAAAAAACAATTCAGTGTAACAACTATTTATGTAGCATTTACATTTTATTAGGTAGTATAAGTAATTTAGAAAATGATTTAAAGTATACAAGAGCCTGGGAACACAGCAAGACCCCATCTTTACAAAAAAAAGATTAGCCAGGTGTGGTGACGCAAGCCTGTAAGTCCCAGTTACTCACCTGCAGTCTCAGCTACTCATAAGGCTGAGGTGGGAGGACCACTTGAGCCGAGGAGTTCCAGGCTGCAGTGAGCCATGATAGCAGCACTGCACTCCAGCCTGGCTCTTTTTTTTTGAGTTGGAGTCTCACTCCATTGCCCAGACTGGAGTGCAGTGGCACACTCCCGACCACCACAGCCTCAACCTGCTGGGCTCCTGCGATCCTTCCGCCTCAGCCTTCCAAGTAGCCGGAACTACAGGCGCGCGCTACCACACCCGGCTAATTTTTGATTTATTGTAGAGACAGGTCCCACCAAGTTACCTGGGCGGGTCTCAAACCCGCAGGTTCAGACAATCCACTAGCCTCGGCCTCTCAAAGTGCTAGGATTACAGGCTGAGCCACCGAGCCCGGCCCAGCCTGGCTCTTAAAAAAAACAAAAAACAAAAAACTATACAGGAGAATGTGTGTAGGTTATAAGTAAATATGATACCATTTTATATCAGGGATTGAGCACCCTTGGATTCTGGGATCCTCAGGGGTCCTGAAACCAATCCTTCATGGATATCAAGGGACGACTGTATTACTATAAAGACCATACTCCTCAGTAGGGGAGTCAGCAACAAAAGCTCAGAAAAGGTTGCAGAAGAGGCAAGCAGCAGCCAGGTCTCCATAGTATCCCTGGGAGTGTGCTCCACAGCATGTGCTTCCATCACTTGACAGCATTAGTCACTAAAATGAACCTACAAACTCCTGCTGCTCTGTTGCTAGGCTTTACAAGCAAATTCCTGGCAATAATGGGGCTTCTCAACAAGTTTGGTCTACAAGGAGAAACCACAAAATGACTTGATAATTCTATTTCTCAATTATTTTTTAGTCTCTTCAAAGATTGGGCTTACTTTTAAGATTGGACTGACTCATATTAACCAATTACCTATGGTACAAAATTGTGAGCTTGTTTAAGCAGATGGCCATACCCTGAATTACTCAAACAGAGGAACAATCAGCTTGTGCAGAGTCATATGAATAATCAGACCCTCACAGGCATCTTTCTTCTAATGGCAGGCTTTTTTCATACAGAAGCATTGATAAAGACTTATGAATACTGCACCTCTGCACTACAGAATTTTCACAATGTTTCTATCATAAAATGGCATTTACAAAAGCACACAGAGGAGCGCACCACTGTTCTAAGGTGCATGTAAAACACAAATCAAAAAATTCAATTTTATACTTATCAAGCGGAAATATGTAAATATTTAAATTAAATCAATGAAAGATGAATTTAACTTACAATCAAAGAGAAAATAATTATTCACAAGTTAAGCACTTCATTAATTCTATACAGTCATGAATATTTTCAAAATAAAGGGACAAACTTGTTCCTCCTGCCCCTGGCTATCTGGCTAATCTTTTATCCCAAGAATAACAGAAATTTGATCCATAGTAGCAATTATGTAATCACGTGGTCTGAAATGTTAACTGGTTAGGTTAATGCTTATTAACCACTTCTCCCTAATGTACTCCACAATGTTATTACAAAGCAATCAGATCTTTAATTCCAACATTGAACCAATGGTCTATAGCTCTTCTTCAAAGCATGATCACAATCTGAACCAGCTCACATGAAACCAGAATCATCTGTATCATCATCAGTAATTCTTACTGAGCATTTTACACCACTCTCTACAGGACAATTCTAAAGGCCAGTTCTACTGTGAGTTTCTCAGACTTTTCTGGTTGTCAAGTAAAAATGTACATGAAATTAACTCATATATTTCTTCCTCTTATCACTGAGTTAGATCCACTATATTTGCTGAACTTGAGAAAGGGGAAAATATATAAAGAATCAAAAGAAGGGTGAGGGAGGGAGAAGTGGAACATTAATGGGCACGGGGGAAGGGATCACCAATACCTAACAGGGAGCCTCTGAATGTAGGCTACACAAATTTTCACTCAGAGAAAAGCCTCAAAGTCGAGCACTTCTGAAATTAACTGTGTAGGCCCACTGAACGTGGCTCTGGCTCAGGTATAAAAGGACAGCAGTGTCAGGCCCCCAAATGAAATTTAATGAAAAAGATGTTCTCACCAGCCAGTCACACCACCCATTACAATCTGGGTTGCTACTGAGTATTTTTCTACCATAGGTCCCGAACTGTGGCCAAACACTTGATTCCACCAGTGGTGTCTTCTTGCATACTCAGTTAAATCCAACACTTCGTAAGAGTCGTCATCACTTTCATATTCTTCAAAATACAAAATGGAAAAATAAATTCAGTCAATCAAGCGTCAGACATGTCCCATACATTTTTTTTTTTAAATCTGTTACAATCCACTGTTACTCTTGACCTACAGTTAAAAATGCCCAGATGAAAACTAATTAGTTTATTAAACTCAATTCATGAGACTAGGGCCTCAAGAGTTAAAAGCCCAGCAATAATGTCCCCATCTCCTTTCCTCAGGGACTGGCCTGGGGTCACGAAGCCAGGGCCACTTCAGAATTACATAGCAGTGAGGGGTCACCCCCCACCAATCTCAGTTGGGTCAAGGTCAGAGCAGGGTCCATTTTCATCATTGGGGGGGTCCTCTTCTTAAGAGAACCGGTCAGAAGCCCGGCGAGAAAATACTTCACAGTCAAGACATTTTTTAAAAAAGCAAAAAAACGACATTTGAAGATGGAGATGAAAAGCCAGAGGTGAAGGTACGACAGCAGGAGGTAGGGCTGTGTTGGGGGGAGATAGCTCTCCGCCTGAGTTCCTCAGAAAGGGGAGGGCAAAGTCTAACTCGGAGGGGGTGCTCAAAGGGTCTGCCTCAAAGCAAAAAAAAAAAAAAAAGCTCCCTGAATCCTGGGGCAAGAGAAGGAAGAGGCACCCCGGGAGCAAGGTCGACTGTGAGTCGCGTCCCAGATACCACTTCGGGCCCTGGCCGCTCACCTTGGGGAGGGGGGTTCCGGGTCGCCATGATACCGCCCGCGGCCTGTTCTGGGGTGGTCCCCGCCCGCCCTCCTTTCCTCGGCACTTTAAGGGCCGCTCTAGGCCAAGGTGGAAGTCTATGGTCTCTTTTTTCCTCCTCCTCCTCCTTCTCCTCCTCCTCCAGGCGCGTTGTCCCGTCTCCGCCCCCTTCTCTCAGGGCAGTATTTTCCGCGCAGGCGCAAAGCTCCGGAGTGGGGGGAAGGGACGGTAGGCTCGCCGCCCCGCGAGGGCTTATGGGAGTTGTAGTTTGTTGCCCCCTCCTCAACTGGGCAATGGGGGGGAACTCCCTTCCTAGAATTTACATAACCGTATTTTGTTTTAAAGGACCGCAGGCCTGGAGGAATGGGGGTATAAAAGGGAAGCCAGCTTAGTACCGACAGACTCTCCTTGACCAAACTTTAGTCGGGAGGCTCCTCTTAGCTCTTGCTTTGAATCTCCTTGGATCGTCTTTGGCCTGCCTAGTCCATTTTTAGCAAGAATCCTGTTAAATCAGTGTAATGAGAATACCTCCGCCCTTAATATCTAATCACCCTTAATATCTAATCACCCTCAATATCCGTTCAAATTTCTCTTACCTCACAATAGATAGCTGATCACTCTGGCCTGCCATCAGCAAGAATCCTGTTTAATCGGCTTAACAAGAATCCCTACACTTGATGTCTCCTCTTGGTAATCTTCCACCCATTGACTCTCACACTCCCGATCATTGGCTATAAATCTGTTGTATTCGGAGTTGAGCCTGATCACTCAACCCTCTTACGATAGTCTTGACATCTATTGCAATTGTCTTGAATAAAGTTTTCCTTACTATTTTAACAAGTGTCAATTTGTTTTCAAAATCTGGCCCAGCACTTGCATTCTGTCAGAATAATTTTTTTAACAGTATTTTGAACACTGTACAAAAAAAGTTTCTAAAAAGAGGTTAGACAAACCCTTTTTCAAACCATACTTTTTTAAGGAAGCAAGGTCTCAAAAAGTTACCAAAATTGTTCTAATGCCCTGCTGCTGGGAATTTGAACTTGTTTACCTGCTCCCTCTCACACATTTCCTGCCAGGAACACAAGGAGGGGAAAGGAAGGTCTAGGAACCTACTGAGTAACTCCTGACCTGGCAAAAGGACATAATTTTTTTAGCATCATTCTTATTATTTAAGCCTGACAGAGGAAGGAGGTCAAGTTCTTCACCGAGAAACCTCATGGGATTCTGTAGAATGAAAAATATAACCCAAGTTCGTATAAACCAACTCCAAAACTTGTCTTGAACTTGAATTACATCCACATTCGCTGTACAATTAAACAGCCCTCTCAGTATATGTTTTAGTGGAAAGACAAGGATTCTGGTACAAATTGCATTACTTAAAATATTGACTTGCATAAATACACTTGACTTTTAAAATCCTGGCACCTTATTTTCTTTTACAATATGCATATATATTAATATCCTTATTTATATGGCTTGCAGATTTATATTTCTTTTTTTTTGAGTTGGAGTCTCACTCTGTCGCCCAGACTGGAGTGCAGTGGCATGCTCCCGGCCACCGCAGCCTCGACTTGCTGGGCTCCGGCGATCCTTCCGCCTCAGCCTTCCAAGTAGCTGAAACTACAGGCGCGCGCTACCACACCCGGCTAATTTTTAGATTTATTGTAGAGATGAGGTCTCGCCAAGTTGCCCAGGCGGGTCTCGAACCCGCGGGCTCAGGCAATTCACTCACCTCAGCCTCCCAAAGTGCCGGGATTACAGGCTGAGCCACCGTGCTGGGCCAGATTTATATGTCGGTCATTTGTTGACTGGGAAAATGATTTTCCTAAGCACGTAATATCCCTGTAAATTGAATAGCCTACCTTCATTATCATTTGTATTATGATTCTAATTTCTAGTAACTATTAAGTAACTTGTGTTTCTTTATTTCTTACTATATTGATGCAAATAATTAGTCTGTTAGCTTCAATTATATGTTTTCTTTTCATTTAAAATTGATTGGAAAAAACAAATTCTCTTTTGTCACTGCCCAGTACAATTTCACTAATCTGTAGAGACTAGCAAGATTCTGAGAACAGTTCTGACAGTAATTTTCTTTAAAGTAGTGTTCGTGGAGGTGGTTTTCAAGGTTGAGTGAAGAGGAGGGAGGGGATGATGACAAACTCTGAACAGGTGACAGAAAGAGAACACAGTTGAGATGAGAGACTGAAGTCGCAAAGAAGGTAGAGATATTAAAAAATTTGGACATTGATATAAAGGCAGAGTGGTCTAACAAATACAGAAACAATAAAATAACAAACTTATTCTAAAGCAACTAGGTTAGTTAATGACTAGACAAAAATTTTCAAATATTAATATAACTGAACCTAACTCATTCTGTACCTCCCCAAATTCATAACTAAGTTGAGAATGAGATCGAGAAAGATGCCTTGTTCAGGTTATTATTATTATTATTATTATTATTTTGAGTTGGAGTCTCACTCTGTCACCCAGACTGGAGTGCAGTGGCCGCTCTGGCCACCGCAGCCTCGAGCTGCTGGGCTCAGGTGATCCTTCCGCCTCAGCCTTCCAAGTAGCTGGAACTACAGGTGCGCGCTACCACACCCGGCTGATTTTTTATTTATTGTAGAGATGAGGTCTCGCCAAGTTGCCCAGGCAGGTCTTGAACCCGCAGGCTCAGGAAATCCACTCACCTCAGCTTCCCAAAGCGCGGAATTACAGGCTGAGCCACCGAGCCCAGCTTCCTTGTTCAGATTATAAATTAGGCCCTGAAAGTGATTACAGTGATTATTTCAGGACATTAGTTAAAAATATGTGAGTTCAGCCGGGCTCGGTGGCTCAGCCTGTAATCCCGCGCCTTTGGGAGGCTGAGGTGAGTGGACTGCCTGAGCCCGCGGGTTCAAGACCCGACTGGGCAGCGAGACCTCATCTCTACAATAAATCAAAAAATCAGCCGGGCGTGGTAGCGCATGCCTGTAATTCTGGCTTCTTGGAAGGCTGAGGCGGAAGGATTGCCAGAGCCCAGCAGGTCGAGGCTGCGGTGGCCCGGAGCGGCCACTGCACTCCAGTCTGGGCAACAGAGTGAAAACTCAAAGGACTGTCAGGGGACGGGGAGACACCTCTTATCAACAAGGGTGCCTGAACAAAGGATATTTGTATACCTAACTCTTAATTGTACCCCACAATATCATAATAAAAAATATTGATTATTAAAAAAAAAAATGAAACCTCAAAGGACTTGGCCAGTGGCTCATGTCTGTAATCCCAGCACTTTGGGAGGCCAAAGCAGGAGGATAGTTTGAAGCCAGGAGTTTGAGACCAGCCTGGACAATATAGTGAGACCCCTATCTCTACAAAAAAATTGAAATAAATACATAAACTCGAAGGATAGTTACTTTGTGTAAGACTCCACTTTTCAGAAACAAAATGACTTTAGGAAATATAACTTCAGATCTCCTCACTGAAATATTTTTCCAAAAATTACAGATTTGAGTTCATATACTCCTTTTCCCCCATTGCCAGCCCATGCCTAATGAGGTGCTAACAAATAGAGAAATAACAAATGATGGACCCCTGAAAAAATAAAAAGGAAAAATAAAAACAAGGAAAAGGAAATCATAAGTTAGAAGAACAAAATGGAGAGCTGACTGGGTCAATGATATGCAAACGACACCAACATATTTCTAGTAATAACTGCCACCTGTAAAAAGTCACTTACTTATCAAAAAAAATGATATAGAATTAAATGGCTGTGGAGAAATGAAGGAGAGAGTTAAAAAAAAAAACTAACCTTAAATAAATGCCTTTGATTTGGACTGAGCTCATGCTGAGGTTCCACACAACCAAGCCAAAACTAAGTTGTTTATCTAACCGTCCAAGAAATCAGGAGAGAGAGAGAGATAATAGTGAAATCCCCAACATAAGTAAGTCCCCTCTGCTTTAACCTTTACAAAGACAGTAATATGGCCTGATGCGGTAGCTCACACCAGTAATCCCAGTACTTTGGGAGGCCAAGGAAAGAGGATTGCTTGAACCCAAGAGTTTGAGACCAGCCTGGGCAACAGAGCAAAACCTCGCCTCTACAAGAAAGAAAAAAATTAGCTGGACATGGTGGTGTGTGCCTGTAGTCCCAGCTATTCAGGAGGCTGAGGAAGGAGGATCGCCTGAGCCCAGGAGATCAAGGATGAGATGAAGTGTGATCATGCCACTGCACTCCAACCTGGGCGACAGAGCAAGACACTGACTCAAAAAAAGGTGGAGAAAGTAACTTGAAAATGACCAGTCCACTTTCTGTTCTGTGTCTGCTTCATCAGTACATTTCTGTCTATAAAGCTAACCTCCTCTGTTCAGCTCATGGGAATATTCATTCTACTTTATTGAATGAGATATTGCCTGATTCTAGAATCACAAATAAAAGCCAAGTAAAGTGCTGGAAACACCATGCAACAGGAAGATAATAAATAAATATAATAAAAATTAAAATCCAATTAATTATTATTATTATTATTTTTAGTCAAGGTGTCACTCTGTCAAAAAAGAGCTGGAGTTGGACAGGGCTGGTCACACACAGAGAAGCCCCTAGGACAACCATGAAAGATCAAACAAATGCTATTTGTAGATAAAGCAATTTTCCTGGGCTGGACTAAATTATAAGAGCTTTACAACTCTCTCTCTCCCCAAGCTTTCTCAGTCTCTAGAATTGAGGCCCTTTATTTCCACTTCCTATTCAATGCCAAGGCTTACCCATTAGTTCCATTTCTCTTAACCTTTCTGATAACTTCAGTACTCTTAATGATTGTTTAAGCTAATGGGCCTTGATCAGTGCCACCCTCATCCACTCCTATAGATGTTCATAATTCAAATCTCCAAAAGTGTTATTTGAAGGTGGCAAGGGGAACTCGTAATCATTAACTCCCAGAAGACACGTGGGCCACTATGTAAATAAATCTACCACTCCCCAGATGATATTGGCATTCCAAGAGGGAGAAAACTTCTGTAAAATTTATTTTCAAAGGACTGAGATAATCAATTGCTGTTGAGCAAAATGTGGTAAAATTGATGTCGTATTGTAAGTGTTGGAGTGTAAACAGGCACAAATTTTAGAGATTTGTATCCAGTCTTTAAAATGCCCTTGTTTTTTGCCTCAATACTCTCACTTAAAAATCAGTGCCAAGCCGGGCTCGG